ATCATAAATATAGATGACAGAAGAATTTTTAGACTAGAAATTAGAAAGCGTGAAGGCTATAAATTATATCATAATTCCACACGAGGCAATAATAACGTCTTACCTGCTCTGGAGGCGTACAGAGGGTTCGGTATGTTTGCAGCGGCGTCCGCAAGTGATCTCCAATCAGTCGGTGGTGGCTGCGTGGGCGTGCCACCTAAACAAAAAACACGATAAAATTGCGTGAATTTAACTATATTTTATTAAAGACGCATTCGATGCAGTGCTAGGACTGGAAAACTGTAGGTTTTAATAAAGTCAGTAATCTAGTCACGTATGTACATAGCAAGTTCATGCAACACTATCCCAATGTATATCGATATTCATTGATCAACAATGCGATTTTGACATGACTCATAGGAAACGTGCGCTTTTAACAATCATAACTATCGCCCAAGTTATACTTCTATAGCATACGTTTTCAAGGTAAAAGGTTGGTTATCTTGACAAATAGAGATCTGAACAAAAGTTTTTTTCAACCTTTATTTAGCCTTGAAAATGTACAGTATGTACTAGTACCACTCTTCGGCCTGAGCCGCTTTTCAAGAGGTCAAGGGGAGGTAGGTCAGGGGTCTTTTACAAATGCTTCGGCTCAGTTACAATATTAAATCAGCCATACAAATACAATACAAATACATACGAGTCCATACAAAATTCAAACATGTTAATAATGAGTTTAGTTTTACTTTAGTTTATTCATAGAAAGCACAGATGCAACAGGAAACCCGGAATGCCGAGAATAAAAGCATCAAGTTAAAGGAAAAATAGAGATTTATTGAAATAATGACAGTTTTGTAGACTGGTTCAAGCATGGAGGTAAAAATCGCACGACGGAGACATTTTAGTTTACGCAATAAATAGTAAAAAGAGCTTTACAATGTGGATCGACACAGACCGCCATCTTTTTTTTAATATAACGTAACTATAAAACTAAAAAAAACTATACTGTAACTATTGCTTGATATACGAAACGAAAGCTAACAACTTCGGGAAGTGGTTTTGTCAAGACGAAAACTCGAAAAATAGTGAAAAAAGAAAAGGCCTAACAATTTAGCCCATTATATTCAGAGAAAATTGCTATTAAATACATGTAAGTTATTATTAAATGCAGTGGATCCAGAGAGCAGAAAATGGCAAAAATATCCAGCCAAATCTACTAACGTACCTCTTGTAGTCCCAGCTTGTGCCTGCTGCTGACGGCCGGCCGATCTCGACATGGTGTGACAGAAAAACGCGTCCTACCAAGGCAAGACTTTTCTAGATTTAAGCCTGCCTCAACTCCCAAACCAATCTGTACTCGTACCTTTGATCAGCACAATTAACATAAAACATGATACTAAAGGTTACAAAAAAACGCCACTGTTTGAAAAGTCGAGACAAATTATATGAAATTTTATCACTTCTGTGATTTAATACTGAAACGCGCTTCATAATGAATATCATTTCTGACGGTCCTTTCCTCTAAGGTTTCGAGATATATTGTGTACATTAATGCACGCGAATTCGGAGAAAAACATCTTTCGACGTTATCAATTTGAATATAGTTTCACTATCTTACACCTTTGTCTATTTGTACACCATAAGTGTTATCTCCGCCTAAATGTAATTAAATGTGATATCATTTATAACGTTAGCGTTGTATTTATTCAAGTCTTTAAGGTCTCATAGCTATATATCTGCCTTTTAAAGCCTTTGACTGCATTGTTGGCACCAATTTCGTAATGACGGGGCCAACTGGATACGGCTTGTTCAACTGGATCTGAGCTGAGGGATCTACTTTGAGATTACAAATTTTCGTTCCTTTTGGACACGGGTTTAAAACAATGAATGATACGTTCATGACAAAAAAAGAAGAGGAGAAAAACTTTATTGAGTGATCATGCCAGTAATTTATGTAATGTCTATGACAATGATGATCTGAAAACAGTGTACACTTTACCACTTGTCTCGCTCAGGATAGTATTAATGATACTAGATGAAATGATTGATCACGATTGCAGGCACACCAGCTACGATATACGATATGACTTTATTAGCAAATAGCAGACAACATGAATTGGTGTCTGAAATACCTTGCTAATTAACATTAAAATGTGGAAAATTACATTGCTACACCCATCCATAAAATTAATTAATTCACGAAACGTATATTACATTCAATAAAATATTAAAATTCAGTGGTACTAATTAAAATCTTAAATAGAAGATATAAGAATAGCGTTACAGTACTACAGGTAAAATTACAAGAATACAAGTCGAGTACACAAGTTTGTAGTGCACAGATTCTGGTTCACAATAGCACATATGCCATTTGGTACAAGTGTTTAAGCAGTCTCTGATAATCGTTACTACAGAGTCTGGTTGTACAGGGATGTTGCTTGATGTAGAAACGATCTTTTGAGACGTTCGGTTCTACATGAAGGCAGTGTGAGTTGGTGGTGGTTCCTGAGAGTTCTTCCAGTCCGCTGTTGTCTGTCCTCTGTGACCATATGATGCAGCGGATGGTCACTGGAGCGCATCTGGTTGAGGAGTGCGACTGCTGCGTCTTCACGCCTGGACTGGAGAGTGGGCAGGGGGGTTGCAGCCGGGGAACTTCTGTTCCTGTTTATTATCCTCACGGCTCTTCTCTGCAGAGCTTCAAGTGTTTTTGCCTGTGAGTTGGTGCATCCGACATAGACCACGTTTGCATATTCCAGAACAGGTCTAATGAGGGTTGTGTACACTGCCGTTAGATCGTCTGCAGGCATGCCGCCTTTGGCAAGGAGCCGAAGGTAATGTAGGCGCTGTGACCCCTTCTTCGCCACGTGAGTTATGTGACTGTCCCATTTGAGGTTATCACTGATCTTGAAACCCAGGTAAGTGGCACATGTAACAACCTTAACCTCTTTTCCTCCGAGAATGAGGGGAGGGAGGACTGGAGGAACTCTAGAGAAGCATATCCTAAGTTCATATGACTTATCACCATTCATGGTCATGTTGTTTTGGGCTGCCCACACATCCAGGTTTGTTGCTTCTTCCTGCATAGAGTTGTCCAACTCAGCACTGACACAAGGGATGCATCTGGATAACCCAATGTCGTCAGCATACCCAATGTTGGTGGTAGTCGGGTGTTTCACAGAACGAGTGGACATGTAGACTAGGAATAAGTACGGTGATAATACTCCCCCCTGGGGTACTCCGGACGTGACGTCCTTCCAGCTGCTGAGTTGACAGTTGACCGCTACACGTTGTTTCCTGTCAGTCAGGTAACTGTTCATCCATGTAAGCATTCTTGCGGGGATGTCACGGGTTGACAGGTGCTGTAGAAGAATGCCATGGTCAACTTTGTCGAACGCTTTCGACATGTCGGCAAGTAGCACACGCACGACTGATGTCTGTTTGTTGTCAAGGCTTGTGAACCAGGAATGGTATGCCTTCAGCAGTGCGGCAGTAGTAGAGGACTTAGGCATGTATGCAAACTGGTCTTTGATCCAGGGTTTCATTATGGGGAAGAATTTGTTGAGTACAAGTCTCTCCTGGACCTTACCCAGCGTGGAGATCAAAGAGATTGGTCTCCAGTCTTTCATCGAGTTGGGATGAGAAGTTTTGGGTACCGGACAGATGTTGGCCGTCTTCCAAGCAGAAGGCATGATGCCAGAGTTGTAGGACATGTTCATCAGATGACAGATTACCGGGCTCAGATCCTCACAGAACTCGCTTAAGACCCAGTTTGGTACACTGTCGGGACCACAGGCTTGTCTTGGGTTTAGACGTTTAAGTGTTGTTTTGACCTGGCCGATGTTGCAGAGATCATGCAAGTCATTTGTTGGTGGGAGTGGGAAGAGAGCAAAAGAGCTGCTGTTGGACATTGCCTCCCCAAAGAAGTTGTTTAGTTGGTCAGCAACTTCGTTTTCTGGTATGTTAGTGATAGTGATCTTTCGTTTTGATTTCTGTGTGCGGCCAAGCTCGTTGTAACAAATGTACACAGTCACTATCAGGCACCGGTGACTTCTGCCCCTCTCGGAGCCAGTGATCATAACTGTGTTATGTGGAAACCCGAAGTCCGTCTACACCACTGTGAGCCCTCTAGAGTGCTGCACCGTCTGGTAACACAGGATCGGAAAGACGCCCTAGGGCTGTGTATGGCGATTACCGACTGGTCTAGCGTGTACAGCGCAGGCACAGTCGAGGACAAGGTGACCACTTTCTACAACATCAGCTAAATGATATCAATAGAATCGTAGCTAAAATAAAATTATTAAATCAATCCAGTGGAATTCAGAGAAATCCCTCAAATAGCTACAGTGGCGATAGTTCTCCATACACCAATTGGATTGGATTTTAATAACTCAGGTTGCTCTTTATATTAACTAGAATATTACATAAGATGCAACGCTGCAAGTACTTACTTAACAAATGGAAAGTAAGACATGAGTCAGGAAACATCTATAGTCCTATCTGTAAAATTTGTAATAAAGTTGAAAATGATGAACTTATGTTTTTGAAGTGCGACAGGTTAAAAAAACTTCTGGAATAGAGTAAATGTTACCAAGGATGTTACTCAGGATGAAGTTCTGTTAGGCTCAAAAATGTGACATAGTAACAATTGCAAAGTACTCTATTCATATTTCTTAGTTAAGACACAGAAATGATCATTATAGAAAACTTATGAGAGATGATGTATTCCATACCTTCCTGTATTCCTCCACCACTGTATTGAGTGAAAAACATGTACTTTGCACTAGTAATTGTTGTATTACAATGTTTAATCAGAATAAAGTATCGTGGCGAACACGGAAAAGTTTTTAAAAAATACACAACTAGTGATCTTTGGCCAAGCTAAGCCTGATACTGGCCATGTTCAGTTGGCAATCTATTTTGAGGCCATTCTCATCTTTTACTAAGTTGACTTATGGGATACGTATCCGTTTGTTTTGTATCATTATGCTATTGTGTAATGTTTATATGCTTTACACTTCTCGTATTCATTTCAATTTCTCTATATCGTGTATATACAGCTAACGTGAAAACAAATTCAGGTTGTAGAAAAGTCGTCTCGACTCATGTTAATAAAAGTCGCCCAGAGATATGGTCCTGTAGAGTACCTCATTTGATCCCCTTTGCTGCTAACTCTTGACGAAGCCTTGCCAGGTATCCTGGGTCTGGATAGCCATAGCTAGGAATATAGGGAGAGAAAAGGTATTGCAGTCACTCGTCAGATTTGGGTGTGGCATCTACATGTATTATGGGGATCATACTACGGGTAATGCCTACCTGCCAAAAGCTCCGCCATAGATTTGAGATTTTTTTATTGCAAATTTCTGCTCGAAGGCTAATTGCAAATGACACGGGTAAAAGAACATTGAATACTATACAAATAATAAAAGGATATTGTCTGGAACTATGTATGTGGGTAGATAAAAGAAGAATATTTCGTTCATTGTCTGCCAGATAATTTAGGATGAATTGCAGAAGTTTGTTCGTGTCACAAGAACTTATGAAACGAGTTGTGTACTAGTATTCAGTTTGAGAAAATTTGACGTCTTAGGACACATTGAAATTTAAACAAATGGGACAGCATCAGGCACTTACCCAGAGGCTCCTCCGTGGGTGTTTGTTTTGTGCGGAATGCCGTTCCAGATCACCGTGTCTGTAGCGCCAGTAGTGACGGAGGTTCCAATGGTGAAGACCAGGCGATTGTCAAAGGCCCGTTTCAGGAGCTGGACCAGCTCTCGTCCCTCGTCGTTGTGAGGGAGATAGGCATTTCTGGAGGTGCCTTTGTAGGAACGACCGGGATTTGGATGTTCAGGCTGTATTAGGTGGATATGTGAATAAGACATAATATCCAAGCAGAGTAGACAGCCTCAATCAAATTGGCCAGGCTGTATCCATTTGCCAGACAGTTATTATTTTTGCCACCGAGTATATGTCTATGGTAACTGTCTGCTGTCAAATGGATACAGCCTGGCCAATTTGATTCTGTTTTGCAGCCACGAAAAGATTTGCTCGGCGATTAACTGAGGAGAGACAGACTGATTTGATAAAGAACGGAAAAATTAAGAAAAGTCCAACTTGAAACTGTTTCATCAAACTTAATGTGTCTTTATTTCTCCCCCAATAACATGAAGAGACTGAGTACTTACCCCTTGTATTCCATTCGGGAAGTAGTAGCTGATGACGATGGCTTCACAGTTCTCGTACCCGGGAAGCCTTGTTCCAAGGTGGATCGCCCACGTCATGCTTCCTTGGGGCTGGTTTCCTTTCAGTTCTCCAACAATGGTGCCACAAATGGGACACTGGGACTTGTAGGACAACGCTGTATCTATGCACTTTCTACAAAACGTGTGTTTACACGGGAGGGACTTTGGGTCAGTAATGTATGACATGCAAATGGAACAATCGCGTGTGGCATCACCTCCATCTGATGTCAAACTTTCTCCTGTTCCTCCCTGGCCTGTGGGTGTCTTACGCCGTGCTGCTGAGGACACCGCTTTGCTACGCCGACTTCGTGGCTGAGCAACTTGTAGGCGGCTCTGTGTGGTGTCTCCTTTAGCGACAGCGAGCCCTTTCCCCTCCATCGCTCCGCCTCCAGTCGCGCCTGATGGCTGGAGGCGGATGGCTGCTGTCCCAGTCACACCTCGACCTGACGTGATGTCGGCGACATTACCGGGCGCAGTGCTGGGAACTTTGGATGCCCGCGTGGCTGTGCCTATGGAAAAAGTGAAAAGGAACCAGGTCACCAAGTGCTGTAAGTAATACCGTAGTTAGATTTACTAGGACGTACAGCAGTGTATTATACAAATTTATCCTGTCAGCAATCCCTTGTATTTGTGACCAAGTAGAATAGACGACTGGCGTTGTTATAACATAATAGTTTCCTTGTTGTGCTACAACTGTACACCTGTCCTGTATGTTGAAATTTCATATCTTGTTGTCAATTTGAAATGTTGTTGTTGCGTACTGTATTACTGAATAGGAACAAACAAGGAGGCCTTGTACATGCTACATGTACTATTTGCATCATGTACTATTTTAGTTAAGCTAAGGACCTACCTTGGATGGCAAGTAGCGTATTCCATCCTTCCGTGTCCTCAAGTAGAGCGCGACTTCCTCCTGCTTCTGTTGTTGTTTTAGACTGTACTTGATTTACGCTGCTCCCTTGACCTGTGCAAAGTTCATCTCTGCACTGCCTGATTTGGCTGAATGCACTCGCCACCTCAATATCTGTGCCGCGGGACAGGAGAGTCTGGAGTAACTCCTGCGTGCTGGACAGTCGCACCTTCTTCAACTCAAGCCTCTCTTTCTCTGCATACTGCTGCTTCTCCTCCTGCCTGCACGTAGCCTCAACCTTTTCCTTGCATTGCTCCCCGAGTTTCTTGATAAACGTGACAAGATGGCTGACTTGCTCATCTACAAGCTGTTCGGCTTTTTTACCTTTAGCTTGAATGTCCTCGATGGATTTGTCCACTGTCTTTACTGCGTCCTCTGTGCTTCCCAAAGCCTGTTGTAGTTCTGTGACCATATACTGGCAGGAGGATCTCAGTTCGTTCGTAATGTCTGCGAGATTCACAACGTTGTGCCCGGGTTTAGGGTGGTCCAGGACGATGCAATCCCGGCAGACCGGCACGCCGTCTGTCTTACAGTAGAACCGCATCTTCTCGCCGGCGTGGGCGTCACAAGTCGGCTCGTGCTTCTCCGTTTGTCCGTCGTATCGTCCTGTCCGCAATTCGTCGAGAGACACGACAAGGTGACCTTTGAACGCTCGGAGTGTCTGATGAATAGCCACGCACGATTCGCAGAGAAAGTCGTTACACGTCAAACACCTGGATACGACGGCTTCCGTGCCGCCACAGCTGTCACACGGTATCTTATCCACGGAGTGCTGAACCTTCTTCCGAGCCCCGATTGTCTCCACCAGGTTCAGAATGAAGAAGTTGTCCTTGAGTCCGGAGACGCCGCCATCTTGTTTCAGTGCCGTGCCGCGCTGGCAGGTGGGGCACTTCACTTCCGTCTCACCTGGTTTCACGTACTCCTTCAGACACTCCTCGCAGAAGGAGTGCACGCAGTCGAGAATCTTCGGCCTCCTGAAGGTCTCCAGACAGATCTGACACGTCAGGAAGTCGTCACTGATCTCCTTCAGCAAAGCGGATGCCATTTTGATCAACTTTGAACGTCTGATACACACGTACACCTGTTCGTGATGTTTACTTTCTACATTTGGCGTTCACCTTTGACCAGACCACGTGCCCTTAGCAAGCGAAACTAGAGTTACGTAACCTCAGCTATATTCCCTCGCCAAATAATGTTACCACAAAAAGGTTTCTTAGCTTTACTAGTATACTCCCAACAGCTTTTAGTGCAAACTCTCCATCTGGACATCTATCCCAAGCCTATAGTATAGCGTCAAAGAAAAAGGAATGCCTGGCGCTACGATTAACATTTGCTTAGAGTGGAAAGCAACGTGGTCTTGAGGTTAGGGTTCTTCACGTATAAATATGGAATTTGGATGTTCTCTTTAAGATAAAAATGTAGACACATGGTTTTTAACTGTTTATTTGAAATAAATCGTCACTGACAAAATAGATGAGTGTGTATCACTAATTTTTAGTGCTAACATTTAATGAGAACCAGAAAGAACACAAAAGTTATCACCCACTCCTGTACTGAAATAGCATAAAACGTTCGTGCATAGATTGCTAACAAAAGCGGGCATAATCGCTCAAGAAGGAACGCAAAACAAGGAAAAGGGCATACTAGAATACCAGCCAAATGCTCGAAACATAGCTAAAAATGCATTCATTCAATCCTATAGGCATGCAAAGAACAAAAGATATCATCCACTCTGTACTGGAATAGCATTCGAGCATAGACTGCTAATAAAAGCGGACATAATCATAAGTGACCAAGACTACTTGTCTTGTCTTGTACGGATTCTGCACAACACCCCTAGATTGGGTAAAGCGTGCAGGGGAGCTGTGCGATGCGCTATTGCTGCTTCTTTAGGTGTTGAAGTACTGCAACGTTGAACTTCGTGGGTTCCGCAGTATCAGTTATCTCTTGGGGCAAAATGTTCCAATCTCTGACAGTTTGTGGAAAGTATGAATATTTGTAGCAGTCTTTGTGACTAGATGGAATTGTGTCTTGTGAAATGGTGATGACTTGGATGTTGTTTCCGATTCCGAAGCACATAAGTTATCGATGCAGTGACGCTTGGCATCTAGCTTTTTCCGGCAACTCCTTGCCTCCATTGCGGCGTCCAGCCATTTCGGCTTACGGCTCACGTCTGATGTCGGTAGGATCAAGGATGAGAACGAGTACGGTCCTGAAAACTTACATGTAAACTGCACTGGTCAGACTGTTGGTGAAACTGCCATATACTAAACTGCTCGAACTTGGTGGGGTTAGCGACAAAAAAAAAGGTCCCTCACAACCTCTGCTTGGAGGGAACTCGTCACCCATATGAAACATTGAAACGCCCGCCACTACATTCAAATGAGATGAAATCTCGGCGAAACCAATATAATATCTTCAAGGGGTGAGTGAAATTTCCCAGATACTGATACTGAAGCACCGAGAAAAGTCATTTAGATATGTATCAAACTATAGTATACACACCCAAACAACTGGAATTGTTGACTGACAACTGGTTGTAAGCATGGAGGTGTGATGGTGTAAGTAAAGCGAATCCACCGACCGGCTCTGCCAAACTGTTCAGTCTATTTGGAAAATTTCTACTATTTTCAAAAACCCAATTGGGAGACTATGTGGCGATGGACAATGTCAAAAGTACTCCATAATAGCTTTTGGATAGATATCCAAAAGCACTCGAGAGGTCTGAAGAGCGCCCTCTGTTGTCTTGCAAAATAAGTGCATCACATGATGCTCACGATGGAGCCCGGGGGAGATACTTTTTCACATTGGGCTAAGGGTAGAGGTCGAGAACGAGGCGGAGGTCACTGGAGGTCACCGGAAGTGACGCGTAGGGCTGGACTGCTACTCATATGCTGCAGCAATACCTCAGTTTCGGTAGTATGGGGAGGGCTACCTGCGTCTTTCCCTCGATTTACGTGCAAAAACGTCAACTTTTACGTCTATATTCACTGCATTTGTTTGGCTCTTACCTCTGGGGACAAGGAAAAGCACAGTTCAGATCATATTTGAGGGGATTTAAGCTCTGGGGACCAGGTAACACTCCATATAACGTTACATGTAGGTAATGGGGACCAAATTGGTTATCAACGTTATATTTTGTGTGGCTCTTACATCTGGGCTCTTTTTTTAGCTCTGGGACTAGGTAAGGCAGCTAATACAGGAAACATTTGCACCGTACAAGTAATAATTGCAGGGCTGTCAGGTCTGGGGACCAGGTGAGGCACCTTACAGGTGACTGACGTGTATTTCCTTTGACTTGGGTTGACAATAGACCAGGTGAGGCACCTTACAGGTGAGTTACGTGTATTTCCTTTGACTTGGGTTGACAATAGACCAGGTGAGGTACCTTACAGGTGAGTTACGTGTATTTCCTTTGACTTGGGTTGACAATAGACCAGGTGAGACACCTTACAGGTGAGTTACGTGTATTTCCTTTGACTTGGGTTGACTATGGACCAGGTGAGGTACCTTACAGGTGAGTTACGTGTATTTCCTTTGACTTGGGTTGAC